TGTGGCTCAAGTGGTAGAGCGCTAGCCTTGCGCTGAAGAGCTGAGGGACAGCGCCCAGGCCCGAGACCCCATGACTGACAAATAAATAAATAAATGAAATTGAAGAAAACATTTCATTTCATTGATCCAGATTTGCTGTTTATGCTATTTCCTCATTTCTACCTTTTTTTTTTTTTGGCTTATTCATTCAGAGTTTAGATTCCAAAATATCATTTCAATTGCTTTGTTTTCCTACTTCCTGCAAAGTAAATTAAAATCTGTAAAATTTCCTCTAGTACCAGCTTGCAGAACCCCTCAGGCTTGCCACATTATTCATCCCAAACAGCTTGCAATTTAATTTCCCTTCAAAGGAGCTTGGATAGGGACAGCTTTGAGGGGCTCACAATTGTCTGCATTTTGCCACGTGTACGGGCTCATGTCGCTGCCGGCTCAGTCAGGAAACAGAGCAGTTCACTCGTTACCAAACTCGTGCACATCTTGTAACCAACACATGGCAGTCACTGATCGGTTCTGTCCCTGCTTTTGCCTTTTCACACTGATGTGGAAATGAAACCACACAGTAAGGGAACCTGCACTGAGCGTCTTTTGCTCAGCATGAATTTGAGAATTCAAGTTGTTGCTCATATGAATAATTTATTCCTTATTACTGCTCTGTAGAATTCTGCCATATGGACACATATCTACCCAGGCAGCTGCTGCTGATACTCATGAATATTTCTAATCTCTTAAGTGTTCAGGAGCAGAGATGCTGGCTTGTATGCCATGACCAGATCACTCATTCATAGCTGTGCAGAATTCCAGTTGCTTGGCACATTCATTAGCACTTCGTATTTATTTTAGCCATTCGAATAAGTATGTAGTACTTCTGAAGAGGTCCTCTCACTCATTTTTTCTGGTACTGTGGCTTAGCTGCTCCACTCAAGGAGGACAATCTATCACTTGAGCCACATCTCCACTTCTGGCTTTTTGGTGGTTCCTTAGAGAGGAGTCTCACAGACTTTCCTGCCTGGCCTAGCTGCAAGCCACAATCCTCAGATCTCAGCCCCCTGAGTAGGTAGAATTGCGCGGAAGTCACTGGCAAGCAGCTGTCATTAGCTTGTGTATTTTCCCTTGTATTTCACATTTTTCATTTTATAATTTTGAGATGAAATCTTTCATCTCTAAATGAAAAATTCCAGACATTAAAAACATCTTTGCTATACCATGCTCAACATCTTGTTTGCCCTCTGTACTTCTTGTTTTTACTGTGGGCTCTACTAATTCTCAAAATAACATGATCACATCTACTCTTTTGTTTGTTGTGGGGCTTGAACTCAGGGCTTGGACGCTGTCCCTGAGCTCTTTTGCTCAAGGCTAATGCCCTACCACTTTGAGCCACAGCTCAACTTCTGATTTTCTGGTGGTTCATTGGAGATAAGTCTCACGGACTTTCCTATCCAGGCTGGCTTTGCACTGTGATCTTCAGATCTCAGCTTCCTGAGTAGCTAGGATGACAGGCGAGAGCCACCAGCACCCAGCTTCGTATCTACTCTTGCTAGCATTTGCCTGGTGCATTTTTGTCTCCCTCTTAATAACCTTCGATAATGTTTTAGTTTGGCTTTTGCACCTAGTACAAATGGATTTCGTATTTTTACTCAAGCTTAAGGATTCCACTACATAACCTCCCCGTACATATTGTCAAAAGAATTTGATCTGCTATTTTTTTCTTTTCCTTGTTGTCAGATTTTAAAATTCCACTACTTCTTGGTAGTGATTAGAGTTGTGGAAATACATTTGTTTCTGTGCCAACAAGTGGAGGTCTACAACTCACAGCTCTGCTGACCTCAGGCAGACCCAGTAAAAGGTGAGAAGTGATAGGTTAGATCCAAGCAGAAGCGTTAAGACCCCGTGCATGCTTTTCTTTCCTAGGGCACCACAGCCAACAATGCTCCAAATGGCAACACGCTACCAACCTGGCTACCAGACGGAGGAGATAGTGAGGAAGAACTTTTTCAGCCAACCTGCCAAAGGCACATAGATAGCATGAGTACAAATGAACCGACGTGCAAAGACCAGATTCAGGGGTACTGCAGCATCCTCTAACTGACCCATTAGCGGCATACCCCTTTTCCATCAACACCTAGAATTAAAAAGAACCAGTATTCTCCCATTGACTACGTACTGTATCCTGCCCTGTCGCCATCCATGTTGAAATCTCTAACTTCAGTTCAAGCTGATTTTTACACGTGCATTAGTATTTTAGACCTATTCAGATTTGTTGAGACCTCTTGTAATTACAAAGGAGACGGGAAGGTTGCAAAGTCAGAGAACTTTTTTCTGGTATCTTGGTTCATCAGTTTGATTTTAAAAATCTTTCATGGATTTATTATTCAAGCTGCTCTGTAATACCTAAAGATTCTGCTAAGTAATCTAGTTGCTGATAAAAGGTTAAGTATCAATCTGATGTCTGTATTGTCTCAGTAACAAATACGTGTATGTATACATCTATGCCAATTATTCTGTTCTCCAAGGAGTCTCTTTTATTTTTCTTGACTCAATGATTGTTGGCTGTCTTTATTTATAGATGAAGACCTAAAATTGAACTCTGAAGTACTTTTCTCAGTCAATGAGTATTGGTCCACTTTCAACGAACTCAAATTCTGATTATAGACACTTAGGATGATTATTAAGGAATCACCATAGGCAGAAAGAGTGCAGGTGGCTTGAATTCCGTTCCTTGGCCATCCTGAATCTTATCTCCAATTCCAGGGTTACATATATTAGAACTCTCACTTCAGACAGCAGCTTTCTCTGTCAGTGGCAAACTGTAGGATTAAATGCTCCAGAGATGAGTGGAATGGTTTAGCTGTTCTATCTCTGAATTGAGTGGTCCTCCAATAATCTTGTTCTTCTAAGAAATCTCACACTGCTCAGTTTCTGGTTTTTCAATTCTATTATTTTTATTTTACTAATTTCCCAGTCATGTCAATGGTATTCTGGAAGAACAAAGGAGCTTGTTAAGCCATCAGAAGTTTTAAAAAGTCAATCATCTTTTATCTTGCTAGTCCTATAAAAATAAAGTATTACTGTCTTGAATCTAGAGTACTCCTAAATACACACTTGAATAACTGCATATAGAAATGGACGGGCAAGCAGGAGTGATTTTTAACCACCAGTAAGGACAGATTGAAGGCAAGATGACAAGTCTCTGTTACTGTGTTAACAACAGTCCTGCTTGTAAACAAACTGCAAAGGTTCTGGTAAGCACTCAGTAAAAGTGCAAACCAACTTCTCAAGGCAGGCAAATGCTATGCCCTTCCTACCACAAATGATGAATTCTAATTACTTGAAGAGCTAAAATTGCATAGTAAGCAGTAAAAAGAACTATCTATATTTTCTACCTACCTACCTACCTATCAGCTATGAAAACGGGTTTTGTGTAGTCCATGTTAAGCCTGGTGCTTGCTGTCTAAGCCAGGCTGTCCTCTAACTCAGTATTTCTGACTCTGCTTCCTTGGCCCTGACATGCAACCATACTGTCTTGTATTTATAATTCCTATTGGATAGTTTTAAATGATGAAATGAGGAGCTGGGAATGTGGCTTAGTGGTAGCGTGCTTGCCTAGCATGCATGAAGCCCTGGGTTCGATTCCTCAGTACCACAGAAACAGAAAAAAAAAAAGTAAATGATGAAATGTATAAGATATAAAAAGTCTGGTGAAAGAGGACTGAGGGTCTAGGTTTATATAAGCTCATTTAACTTCAAATTTGCCTACTTTTTTCAGTATTCCCGAGATATAATCATTTTTCTTTTTCAATGTGATCCGATTCTAGTTTCTTTACCTAGATTTGCTTCCAAGATTCTCTTATCACTAAGCTCCACCTTTTACACTGTGAGCCACCACAATTTCACTGAGAAATCAAGTCTCCAGAGTGATCTGTTCAATGTCTTAACAGCACCAACATATCTCATGCTCTTTTTGATTCTGTTGTGTACAAGAGCCTCTAGCTCTCACTGTTAATTGGTTGCTTCATTTCACCCTATAAAGTTTAAGCCCTTTATTCTATACTGCTTTCTCATCTCATCCGAACGCCTTCAAAGAGTAGCTTATGTTATCTGCATTTTTCTCTCAGGGTAGCCTTGTCCCCCCATTTCGAAATTTCCCTTCCTTGCCAACCACCTCACTCACCTGCCTTCAGGATCCCTGGAGCCTAACTGCCCACATCTGAGGGAAGCCTATGTTCTCTTCAGTGGGACACTACGCTCTTCCTTCTGACGTCGCTACCTTCTGTCCCTCTCCCTAAAACCTTTGGGTCTTACTTATATCTTTGACAATCTCCACAATTCTGTGGTTCTACCCATTTTCTTTTACTTATATTCACTCACTTATATTTTCTTTTACTTATATTCACTCATCAGCTGGACATTTTCTTCCTTTTCCATTCCTTTTATGTACACACCAAAAACATCTAGTAGGCCTCTCTTGTTGAAATTATACTTGCTTTAAAATTCAACATGTCTCACCTAAATCCTCAATGCGCTTCTCCACCCCGCGTTCACACTCGGTGACACCCACAGACCGGGGCACCTTCTGCCTCCCTCTTGCTTTCTGCCTGTAACCAATTCTGTCTTGCTCATTTTATTTCCTAAGATTCAGATTTATTTCCTCCCACTAACTGTACTTTATTTTTGACCCTTTCATTGTTTTGCTTTTGTCTAATTCAAAACTGACCAAAACAGTGTTTATGCAAATGGTGAAACATCCCATTTATTGAACCTCATTCCTTTCCAGACCCCTCTACCCCCCCCCCCGTCCCCTGATTTGTTGTTCCTGTTTTCTTCCATTCTGAAAACCACAGCACCCAGAGCACTGTACACATCAGGCTCTCTCATGTTAAAACTGAATGAATGAATGATGCAAAGTGTCAAGAAAAAAAGTACACTAAGGATGTTGCTCTAAGTAGAAACAAATCTTCCCATAATGGCTTCAACTTTCCATTTAAAAACAAAGTACGCTATAATAAAAACGTAAGAAAATTTATTAAAATCTGAAGGCAAAAACATAATTTCAAAAGGTTTAAACCTAAGTTAGGCGTGATAGAGAATAAATGCTTTCTTGATATTCAAAATCAGATCCAAGATGATCACTTTCAGAATGTTCTAGTTGACTGGGCTTACTTTTATTTGTCTTAGATGAAGCAGTCACTATTCTATTTTCTTTCTTGACAGAAACACATTTTTTCAAAGACTCATTTTCAATTGGTTCACTAACCAAGGAACTACTTCCCCCGATTCCTTTGCTTTTCCAGTTTCCAAGTTGCTTCTTAGCCGAGCGTTTTTTGGTATGTTCACCTGTTTGGGCCGTTTTCTCTGAAGGTGATTTGCTCGTTCTAGACCACACATCTTCATCTCCATGACTGCCAGTTGCAGAAATCACCGCTGCTAAAGGAGAACATGTTCTACCAAGAAATTCTTCAAAAGGCTCCTGCTGCCACTCAGAAGCCGGGGCTCCTGCATGGTCTCTGGCATCCGCTGAGCTCTCCTGACTGGGGGCTGGAGCACTGAAGGAGTCGAGAGGCAAAGGCATTCTACCATCACTCGTGATTGTCTGAAACTGAAGGAAAGATACAATAAAAATCAGTGACCAAACAAAGCTAATAATGAAAAAGAAGAGCTTATGCAAAAGGTGTGGCTCATGTGGTAGAGTGCTTACCTAACAAGTACAAATGCCCTGAACGCAAACCACAGTACTGGATGAATGGATGGGTGGGGAGATGGATGGATAGACAGAGACAGAGACAGAGAATTGGCAAGAGAAGATAAGGAAGAACTCAAATGGGCACTGGTAGTTTATGCCAGTAATCCTAGCTACTCAGGAGGCTGAGATCTAAGGACTGTGGTTTGAAGCCAGCCTGGACAGGAAAGTCTGTGAGACTCTTATCTCCAATTAACCACCAGAAAACTGGAAGTGGAGCTGTGGCTCAAGATGGTAGAGTGTGCTAGCCTTGAGGAAAAAAGCTCAGGGGTGCGACTAGACCCTTGTGTTCAAGCCCCATAAAAGACACCCCCACCCCCCAAAAAAGAGCTTAAAACTTTTAATGTTGTTCTGTGACCTTATTATTAAGCAGTTGATTAATCATTTTCCCCCTAACTAGATACTATCAAGTGATTCAGACTAGATCTACATTTTAAGACTTTTGAGTTAATTATTGTCCATTTCCCTTTCTCTTCAAAGTCTTTGATTTCTTTTCTATCCTCCATGCACAACACAGTATCCTATGTGTGTCTTGACTGAGTTCACAGACTGTGACCTCTCAGACTGGCAGTCGTCTGAGACTTGCTGACAAGAGATGGGCTCTAGGTAAAGCAGAGGAAAAGTGGGAGAGTGCTGTGATACAAATGGCTCCCCACTCATTCTTATATCCAGGGCACTGTCTGGACCGCATTGTCTGTTAGCTACATCTGTATGACTTATTGTTAAAAGTTATCTGTATCGGTGCTTGTACCTTCACTAGTGTTCCTTCATTATTAGCTGACTGCATACAAATAGAAACCTAGATGAAATATGAATAGATGTTTACAAAACTTCAAATCTGGGATATTTTCCTTACTCCTTCATTCTTTTTTCTACTGAGGATACTGTGTTTTAAATACAAATGGAAGCCGGGTGCCAGTGGCTCACACCTGTCATCCTAGCTACTCAGGAGGCTGAGAGCTGAGGATCGCGGTTCAAAGCCAGCCCAGGCAGAAAAGTCTGTGAGACTCTGATCTCCAATAAACCACTAGAAAACCAGAAATGACGCTGTGGCTCAAGAGGTAGAGTGCTCGCCTTGAGCTGAAGAGTGCAGGGACAGTGCCCAGGCCCAGAGTTCAAGCCCCACGACGGACAAAAAAAAAAAAAGAGTAAATACAAATGGTCAAAAGAACGGTTTTCTTATTTAAAGTAACCACAGTCCAATGAAATGGGTTAAACTTATTAATCTCAGACTTGGAAGGGACCCCAAGAAGGTCCTGACCCAAACATGGGAACTGAGAGATCTCTGTTTCTCTCTCTGGCTCAGTAATTCCCTCTTTGCCAGTCACTCTGGAGTTATTAAGTCCTTACGTGGATATTCTGCATTTGTCCTATGGCATTCTGCTTCACATCTGTTTTTTCTCCGTCCAGTGCCTTTCTTTCTTCTTCAGGTTGACTACTAATAGTGGAATTCATCTGCGGACGACCGAGTAAGTGAAAATCTGACTGATCTATACCGGCCATGGAGGCAAGCTGCCCCAGCCTGCGGAAGCGAAGGAAAGGGGCAGAGGTGAGGTTCCTATAGCCAAAAAGCACAGCCGAAACCTCCCTCCAGCGATACAAGCAAACACTCGCATCAGTGACTACTGAGACTTTAAAATCCTACTCCACAGCACGTTTAGTTTTCACATCTTTGCACATGCCTGCTGGGGGGCCACCTTACAGAATCGTGTCCATTCAGGATCCAACCCCCAAGAGACTAAATATCACTCGGCTTCACTTCCCTAATGTCACCTGTTTTAAATCCGGTCCCCAGCAGCTTCGGCTTCTGCCGGGCATCCAGAGCCTCTCACCTCCCCCTGACCTTCTGCCCTCCTTCCTGTAGTGTGCAAGGAGGTGTTAGTGCCTTCCTAGTATCAACTCATTCACCGACACCACTCAGCAACCACCTCCAGCTCTCTTTCACAGCAACATCACTTGTAGTTAAGAACCATGCTCTGTATGTGTACCTACATCTTCCCAGCAGATTCATAAGCATTCTAGTATCTATAGCAATAACTTAACTCTAACTTACTAGCAAATGAATAAAAGGCAAGGAAATTCCTGCATGTTCTGATTATGTGCAATTAAAATACATTTAATTTAGTTTTTACCAAGAATTATACCTAGCAATTACTCTATCTACAGGTTAGTTTTTAAGATGGTCTGTCTACCAGGAAAGTCTGCCCTTTAGTCTTCCTTTTAGAATTAATTCTCCCCTAAAAATATCAAGTATGCTGGGTGCTAGTGGCTCACACCTGTTTTTCCTAGCTACTCAGGAAGCTAAGATCTGAGGATTGGGATTCCAAGCCAGCCTGGCAGCCAAGTCTGTGAGACTCATCTTCAACTGACCATTAAAAAGTTACAAGTGGAGAGGTGGCTCACTCAAGTGGAAGAGCACCAGCCTACAGTGAAAATGCTAAGACGGTGCTCAGTTCCTGAGTTCAAGCCCTAGCACCGTATAAAAATGCAAAATCAAGTATATTACTTGTAACAACACACTGAGCCGTGACCACTGCTACAGCCACTGAGCACTAACATCACGGAGGAGGAACCCCCCACGGAGAGCCCACAAACCCGGCGTCTTTAAGGAGATCCAGGAAAGCATGGAACTTCTGAAAAGAGCTCTCGATGCTGCCCAAAATGCCTTCATCATCCAGGATCATGCTCGTCAGTGAGTGCGCCTGAAGTGCTTCAGACAGCGAGAAATTTATGTTTCTTAATTGGGCATTTTCAGTTTCCAGCTGTAACAGAGGATTGAAAACAAGAGATGTGATTTTAAAAAACTCAAGGATTGGAGGCGTGAGATATGATTTTCTCTTATCATCTAAAGAGAACAGTTTTTTGAGGAAATGAAAACTTTTACAATGTAACTTCATTTATAACTTATCTAATGTCCACTGGAAAGGCAATAACCGTAACACGTAACCAAACTTGAAGATTCTTGACAAAACGTTGTATGTAACACTTATATGTCAGTTACTGCTTCATTCACAATCTTCCATAAAATCATACATCTAACTGGTTAAATTCATGGTGGATCACTCTATATCAGAAAATTAGCTAAGGTTCTCTTTACACATGAAAATCAAATGTATTCATATCTGAGCAAAATTATAATTGTGATATAATCTGCTAAGGATTAATTTTAGTAAGCTTAACATATAATGCATATGTTTGAAAGTCCCAAGTCATACGTATCAAATTGATTAGCCATACAACTACCAACAGCCCCTTCCTCTTGGCTTCTTGGCTGTTATTCCCTGTAGCTCTGCCCCATCAGCAGCCATGTTCGAAATCACAAGTCAGCCCAACACTTGCGTTTCTCACTAAGGTCAGTGCAGTCCTGATGCACTTTTTGCCTTATATAATCAGGTGCCCCAAATTTCCTGAGTGTCCTTCCACCTAACAGATATACTTCCAAAGATTCTCCCTTCATCTCCATTTGGAGTAATAAAGTCTATCTACATGGAACTCTCTAGCTTTTACGCACGTTAGTTCAGTTGAATACTCACAGAATAGATTTTACCTTTCAATGCATTCTTAGCAACTTTTCATTATCTTATTCTTCTTTACATTATTCACCGTGCTATTTCACTGTCACTAGACAGTGACAGAACATTTCATGAATAGAAAATAAGCTATAAACTATGTGGTTCTTTTGTTCCTTTTTATGTTCTTCACCCATAGTATAACCCCTGTTTTCACTGTATTTGATTCCAAATTTGGGGAGGGAAGGGGTATATCGGAAAGCTCAAATGGGGATGCAGGTCGACCCCTTGTAACGATGAGATGTACAAGACACTATGTTGAAAACGAACTTGACAATGTTGGGGGAGGTGGGAGGTGTTGGGGAGGAGGGAGGGAAGGGATGGTAGGGGAAAAACAAAGGAGGAGGTAACAATGCTCGATAGGAAATGTACTCTACCCTATTCATATAACTTTAACCCCTCTGTATAATATTTTTACAATACAAATATATATTTAAAAAATCCATGGAGCTGGGAAGGTGGCTCAGTGGTAGAGCGCTTGCCTTGCATGTATGAGGCCCTAGGTTCAATTCCCCAGCACCACATAAGCAAAAACAAAAAAAGCCGGAAGTGGCGCTGTGGCTCAAGTGGTAGAGCGCTAGCCTTGAGCTGAAGAGCTGAGGGACAGT